AGATTCTGATGAGAGCTCAGAAGACCAGAAGCTGATAGAAATCCTGCTGGTAAAGACCAGGCTCAGGAGGTTTCTGCTGGGAAGAGGACTGCATTGGATGCTGGACTCCAGATGATGTGTGTTATGGCTTGTCAGAAAGTTTGTCTGGATTTTGCTCATGTGCAGACTCTTTGCCTGAGACTGAAATTAAGGATGGTGGACTGATTAATCCGGCAGAAGACATTTCAAGGCAGTTGAGTGTTGAGGCAGTGGCATGGCTATTGTTGGGCTTTTGGCCAGATTTATGTTGAGAATCAAGAGCAAGGAGCCCAGTAGGATGATTTAAAATGTTGTGAGTTTGGCAAGAGAGGAAGTTCCAGTAAAGCTGTGCATCAAAAGTAGCCTACTGTGAATGAGTTGGAGATGCCTGATATTCCATGGCTTACTATCGATGAAGGGATTCAGAGGCTCAGGGGAATGGGAATGCTGGAGCAGGTATGTCAAGCTAAACCTAATCCTCCAAACTGGGATGATCCAGAAGAAGTACCGCTCACCAACACCTTGAGAAACAGATTTGTGAGGGCAGCAGCAGCATCCCTGCCATTGCTCTTCTCTATATGCCAGACCTTACAGTGGGGACTGTGGTTACTCAATTAGGACATTTAAGGGCAATGGGTTTTACTGGATCCCAGAGTGGCAGAGGTCAGGTGGCAGCACTCAACTGCCAAAGGCAAGGTCCTTGTACTTATCATAATGGAATGCAGATGCAGAACACTGACCAGAATAATCTGACATGTGTAGATCTATGGTGTTGGCTGATTAACCATGGTGTTCCCAAAAGTAAAATAGATAGGAAGCCTACAAAATTTTTACTAGGTTTATATCCTCAAAAAAATTTAAGGGCAAATAAATGTTGTCCTTTGCCACCCTACCTTGGAGCCAGTCAAGCATGGACTGAAACCTCCACAAACTGTGAACTAAATAAACCCTTCCTTAAATTTGGGCATCAGGTATTTTGTCTCAGCAATGAGAGAAAAGTAACCAAGACAGTCAATTATACCTCAATAAAGTTGTTAAAAATGAAAGAAAATGCTTCATTCACTTAGAGTTTATCTGTGCACTATTTTTTGTATGAAGTATTCAAAGGTTGATTCTTCTCTCTAGCCTTGAAAAATCCCTCAGAATTCTGTAAGTTCTCAGTCCTACTCAAACTCCCACTCTCAAGGCTTCGATTATCAAAGTTACACAGATGACTCCTCTTTGGATAGTTTTAGCTAAACTGTAGGCCCATGTTCTCAACCTCCCTTTGCACATGACTCTGAGTAGTCTTTGGATTCCTGTTCTTCAACAAATCCCCAAATGGAGTTACCACACCCTACCTCAACATTCTACCTCTTTCTTTTCATTCAACAAATACTTACCGGGCTTCAGCTGTGAGTCAGCCCCAAAAGTGGCTGTAGCCCTGAATAAAAGACACATATGGCTGACTGGAGAAGACAGACAAGGATATTTCTTGTCTGAGCACACTTCCAATTGAAGTAAGTTGGAAAAAGAAACCAAACAGGAGAAAGAGAAGAAGAAGTAGTAATACATGGTGCCACAAGAATGAAAATTGCCCCAGGCCTGGTGACACACACCTGGAATCCCTGAACAATGGAAGGCTGGGGCAAGAAGATTATCAGTTTAAGCTCAGCCTAGGAAATTTAGAAATGAGAGCCTGTCTCAAAACAAACAATGAAAAAAGGTTGGGGGTATAACTCAGTGCAAAGTCCCTCTATTGTACCCCCAGTACTAAAAGAAAAGGAAAGGAAAAGAAAGGAAGGAAAAGAAAAGAAAAGAAAAGGAAAGGAAAAGAAAGGAAAGAAAAGAAAACCATCTCCCCCACCCTTTGCCTCTGGTGCCAATGCCTGTCTTTCCATCCCTACACTGTTTCCATGTTCACAAACTTTTTTATAGTTTGCTCATCCCATTTTCTGATTCCTCTGGAGTATTTCAATGGCCTCCTATATGCTTTACTGCAGTCAGGCCAATCAAGTATAAAGTATGGTCAGGAAGTCCTGACCATACTCCCACCTGTAGTTATGCAGCTTTTCTAGATGAAAAAAAAAAAAGAAAATGGAAAAGACTTACAGTTGTTTAAGGAATGATATCCATACTCTAAACCTTTCAAACCGGACCCAACATATTTCTCTAAGAGTTTCTCTTTCTGTTCCTCTGCCCTGCATATTCAAAGTTGATTTCCTTTTCTCCTGCCTTTATCTGTCTGCCTGGAGTGTTCTCCCAGTGACTATCAAAGTGAGGTCCATAAACTGCTGCATCAGCATCATCTAGGAAATCATTAAGAATGCCAATTCTTGGGCACTTCCTAGGTCTCCTGCATCAGTCTCTGGAGTCATGGCTGCATAAAATGTGTTTGATGAGCCTCCAGGTGATCCTGATGCACTAAAGTTTGAAAAACACCATGTTTGCCTGAAAATAACACCTATTGGGAAAATAATTGCTGGT